AATGGGGTCAAGAAGTATGGGACCTGGTGGGTTGAGTTATTTCACTGTGTTCGAATCATATCGAGGAACATTATTACTCAGAGGACCAGATGGGCCACTACCGAAGACTTGAGACTTGTTTGAGATTAAGAAACAGCCTGGTAGCAAGAAAAGGATGGCGGAGGCTGAGGATGATTACGAGTAATTATTGTTCTTCAATAGTAGTATCACGGTTTGACGGGTGGCGTGGGAACATAAAATGCTGAAGTCGCCATCCAATGTTGAAGGACTAAAGGTAATGTTCGATCAGTCACCTGCAGCGGCTGAAAGGGGAATTACTCCGTATATGGGACAAGCTGCACGAGGGATCTTGATTTCAGATGCAGATTAAAAACACTTGAAATCATGGATGCTGGATTGTAACCGGTAAGGGGGTATAGATGCTTGTAGATACTTGCGGGCTATGTAGTCATCGTTGAGATGGCAAGAATAAATCGAAGCATTACCTACATGTTACAAAAACATTGTGTATGCCATTGGTGAAGCGGGTAAAATTACACCCAGAAGATCATAAGCATATGGAAATACATCCATGATCCATCTATCTAGTAGGAAAATCATCATGAAATATCCGACGATGGTCTTCTACCCGTGTCAGGGGTCAGTATGTAGTCGGTATCAGATACTTGGAATACTCTCTCGGTCAGCTTGTTGGCGGCCAGAGGAAGATCAGGAGAAGATCATTCTTAGGTACTGGAAAATGAGGCCTCCCCTAGTGGAGATGCCATGAGCGAATGACTGCCTTTTCATTTGACCGAACCACAGAACGGGAGAGTCTTGGACTTAACCTGATCCATACTATGACACGATCAAATATGGTTCATGCCTAGGGGTCAGCAGCCACAGGAGCCTGACCCTTTTGAAGATGTCGGTGACAGCCTGACGGCTCGGGACATGTCAATAATAGTAGATTCAAGTTTCGCGGACATCGCCGAACTGGCTGTATGCATAGTTCCGAATATTTCAAGGCACCGATGGAGGGATGCCTTGAAGCCTTCCTTTGAGCCGTACAGATAGCTGAATCTGCCCAGAAGTATTTTTTCCAAATTCCGGTCGATATTATTGTGTCTTATCAATTCGTCGAATCCTACCTCCTTCCCCTCTTCCTCACGCATATCTGCACTTTAGCACTGGACGTCCGCCACTGGCGAACCCCTCCTTTACCAAGTCAATGTGGGGGTATATCCGAGGAGTGGCGGTCGTTGTTACTGCGATCAAGGCCAATTCTAGTCTGCAGGGAGCCGTCTTGTTACTCTACGGACTTGAATTGTTCATCCGCTCATATCTTCAGAGTGGACATCTGTAGATCCATCATGGCGGGGTTTGATAACAAGTCACTCTGTATTTTCTCAACTATTGGAGAGCTCTCGCATTGGTATTAATTACTCAGTAATATTTGGCTGATCTCAGCTCAGCAAGGCTGACGGTTACACAACCAACCTGTTCTCACCATCCAGCAGGACTGAGCACGGAATATCCGCCTTCAGAGACCATACGCAGCCCTGCGGAGGGGGGTTACTCAACAGTAAACTAACACTCTCATGGCAACTAGCAAAGTATCTGCACAGAGCTCATCCTCACATATGTTGGCAAACATACATTAAACTAGGCTGGTAAACAGTAAAACTTGCTATTTTATTTTGGGCCACCCAAGCCAGTGGTTCCCTTACATCAGTCCATCACCGGTTCAGAGCAGCTGTTCAGTCTTCAGCAGGAATAAAGCTACCCTTCCAAGATGTTACACCATGCCGGAGCAGCTGGCGGCTTCATGTGCCATTGAGATATCTGGTTTGACGAGAGACCAGCCGCTCATATCGTGCTCAAGCTTGAGCTTGCTATTGATCAGTACTTTTGTATTATCCAAACATTCCTGGGATGCACCTTGACACCCAAGTCCTGCTACATGGCGATAGATTCCGATCGAGCTCCCCCTCCCTATACTCCGTGGCATATATCCCTCATTCCCGGCCATGCATGGACGCAGCCACCTACCACAACTCGCAGGAAAAGGAATCCTAAAAATGGCTTAGGCCAGACGCCTCACGGAATGTTACCTGCCAATAATTGCCTGGTTGAGTAAATCGCCAAAGGAAGCTCCCTCCTCGGCAAGGAGGATCGTGCATGAGGAGCAAGCTACTTGTACTCGGTCAAGAGGCAGGTCATCTGCAAGCCGCAGTTCTGTCGTGTAAGGGATCTGCGGCATGCTGAGCTCCGATAATACCCACGAATCATTGGCCAGTCACTGCTAGTTGATTAGTCGATGTTGAGCAGGAGATAACCTCTCTCAGTTATTTTCAGTGGCGAAGATGGTCGATGCAAAGAGATTTCTAGGAGATCATCTCAATTTAAGCAAAATTACGGCAGTCTTGATGCCAATTCCAACGCGTCAGGGTGTGCTCTTGGTAGCTGTTAGCTGTTAACATAAGGTAGGAGAGTGATCGACGAGATCCGGGTGTAGATTCGACAGGCTTGCCTTAGGCATACAGGACGAACGGTTATCTTGGTGAATGACATCATCAGGCAGGACGATCCCGAGCGGTATTATTAATAGTTTTTTAATCTACTAACTACAGGGAAATGCCAAGTAGCCTAGGGCTTAGGGCTTCACACTATTTGGATCGCACGTGGCAAGGCAATTAATGCCTGAGGCATACAGCGCGTGGAGCGCTGTTCGGAAGAAAGAAACTCCGCACAGCTCGCAAGTCGTTATGGATCCTAGTGAGGCTGTCCCTGGGGATAGATCCGTTGCCAGCATCGGACCATCTCAAGCTTTACTGCATTGGACGTCGTCACAAGACCTACAATGGCGAGGAAGTTAAGAGCAGCTGCGCAGGCAGCTGCCAAATCAATGAGTATGCTTGCCTATCCTCTATCGCCTTCATCCCCTTGTTTTTCTGCTCGAAAACAATTGCCGCGCGAATCCAGGTGCTAATCGGTCCTTTGTAGAAAATGTACCGCCGCCGCTCCCCGACGCATCGGACGAAGAAATGGCAGACGCGCCCCCGTCACGCGAATCTTCGCCGGTTGAGGACCCCGGTGAGCCGTCAGAAAAAGAGTCCGACATCGAACCTCAACCAGAACAACCCCAGGAGGAAGAGAAAGCACCAGAACCAGCCACACCCGCTCCAGAATCCACCGCTCAGGAATCAAATCCCGTGTTGCAAGCAGACACACCCACGCAGAACCTCGGCCGTCCAGCGATTCCCCGAAAACGTCGTCCTGGGCGTCCGCCGAAGAATCGTCCTCCCGACTGGGATTTGGCAGACGGCAGTGCGCCGCCGCCAGCGCATTCGGGCACACCGGCGAAACGACGACGAGGTCGCCCTGCGGCGAGTGGTGGAAGATGGGCGCGCAACCGGGGCCCATCGCATGTCACGCAGGTGCCGATCGACAAGGAAGGGAACATGATGGATGTCATCGACGATGAGGTGGCGCTTCCGCCCGACCCGGAGGGCGAGACCAAGGTCGACAAGAACGGTGTGCTCAAGGACGGCCGAGAATACCGGGTTCGGACGTTTACCATCCTCAACCGCGGAGATCGGCTTTACATGTTGTCGACCGAACCGGCACGCTGCATTGGGTTCAGGGATTCGTATCTGTTCTTCCAGAAACACAAACTGCTGTACAAGATCATCATCGACGATGAGGCCAAACGCGATCTCATCGAGCGAGAGATTATCCCTCATTCGTATAAGGGGCGTGCCATCGGTGTCGTGACGGCTCGGTCGGTGTTTCGCGAATTCGGTGCCAAGATCATTGTCGGTGGGCGGAAGATCATCGACGACTACAACGTCCAGGCTGCGAGAGAGCGTGGAGATGTCGAGGGCGAGCTTGCAGTTCCAGAAGACAAGCTACCTCCCCCAGGCGAGCCGTACAACAAGAACCAGTACGTGGCGTGGCACGGAGCCAGCAGCGTCTACCATACCAACGCCCCGTCTCTTCCGCTACCCACCGGCAAGGCTATCGACTCGAAAAAGCGCAAGGTGACTGTGACGGGCGATAACTGGATGCTTGAGCATGCTCGGGAGGCCAGGTATGTCTCACAACTCATCTTCTCTCTCTCTGTTAGACGGATGACTAACGCTTTTACCAGTTCCTTCAACTCGCTTATTCTGAACGCGCGCCGCGCGAACCTGGAAGGTGTCTACGACATCCACACCAATGCTATCCACTACCCCAAGATCATGCAACCATCGCACGCCCGCTGGGAGCGTGTTCCTCCCCCAGACCCGCGGGTCACCGCCAGACTCGCGAAGGGATTATCCACGCTGAGCCTGACGAACGGAACGGACGAGGGCGAGGCCGAACCACCCGCCGACCACACCACCGAAGAGCCCACAGACACCGAGCCCCAAACCGTCTTCTCCACGATTCCCCCGGCACTCTCCCGCCGGTTCGCAATCCACGACACCGTCTTCGAAACGCCCCGGTACTCCAACATGGGCATTCCCGGCCCGGACGGCGACGTGCACGATCTCGGCAGCAACGGCCTCATCAGCACCGCCGACTCCCTGCACCCGGAATTCGTCGGCCCAGAAATCCTTGCAGAGCTGCCACCAGAGTGCAAAGAGGCGCTCGTCGAGGCCGCCGCCCGCGAGTGGGAATGGAAGTCGAAATGGCGCAGCGAAGAGATAGACGGGCAGCGCACGACGCCGCTGAAGAGTTATGCCTGGTTTCCCTAGCTTTTCCTTCGTTTCCATTCCGCTGCACGTCTGGTCATTATGATCATCCTTATTTTTCTCTCTATGTTATCACCGTCGCAATTGTATCTGGCATGGGCAGGGTTTGTATTTCTTCAACGGAAAGGAGAACAAAAGGTGCTTTTTTTCTTTTTTTCTTTTTCATTTTAAATGGCAAATGCCTAATCTATCTTTTTTACTTGAATAGCGGTAGGGGCCGGATGTGATCGATCACTCGTCAGATTAAAAACTCTATTCCTTCTGATATCGGATAGTGGCTTCGTAGATTGAGATCGTTTCCTTGAAAATGCACTTACAGGGTGTATTGTATCTATGCGCGAGACCATTACCTAACGCTGTACTAGAACAGATTCAATCCCGATCGGGTAGACAAATGAGATGCTAATCAAAAGGACATAAGACTTCGTTCCGCCATCGGTGTGGGGACGTTAATATGACAGGTAGGTAGGTAGAAGAGTCGCGTAGCTCAAAGCAAACCGATTTACGCCGACTAGATAACTCGAAAGGAAAAGCAACGGACGCGGGGCGAACTCCAGTCCATTCAGGTATATGCATGACTGCTAAGAGGATGTGAGGAGGGAAAGACGGAGGGAAAGACGGAGGGAAAGACGGAGGGAAAGACAAATGGAGTGTCCAGGTTCAGCCCATGGCCATCTCGGCGCGCAGCTTCTCCAGTTCTGCCTCGTCGTCTTCCTCTTCCGCCTGCTTTGTTTTGGCTTCGACTGATAGCATTGCATTGTTAGTTGTGGTCTGTGAAAAACTGATTGCTGGGTGCTTACGCTCTCTGTTGCCGGCGGCAGGTAACCGGTTGAGATCGGCGACGGGCACCGACCCGGTCTTGAGCATGCGCTCGTCCATGACCTCCTGCTCGAGACCCTCGAGCTCCGCCTCCAGTTCGGTCTCGTCGGGCTGTTCGCCCAGAGGGTTGTTCGTGATGGCCTGCGCGATTTCCTCGCTGAGCTGGTGTTGTTCCCGGAGTTGGTCCCTATTCTGTCAGTATCTTCCTGCGCGATGTCTATGGCAAAAAAAGATACATACATCGTCTCGTCGACCTTGTCGATCGTCATCGAGCCATGGATCTGTGTCATGGCAGCGCCGGCCGCCTTCATTGCGTTCAGGGTCTCCTGGTTGATATTCGCCGCTTCGATCGAGTAGATCTGCTGTTCGAGCTGGGCGATCTGCGCGGTTGTCTGCTCGAGGTTCTTCTCGTGGACCTTTTTCCTTCGCAGAGCGGCTTTGGCAGCTGTGACAGACAGTCAATATTGTGTTCGCTTGACAAGAACAAAACCTAAGGCAAACGCGCACCATTCTTATTTGTTGAGACATTCTTGCGAGCGACCGCCTCCTGTTCCTCCATCAGATGCTCCAGGTGCTTTTCTCGCTTCTGCAGCATGTCCAGTTGCTCTCGCAGCAGGAGGATCGCATTCTTGGGCGCATCCTTGCGCTTCTGAGCGGCGGCACCGCCGAACCAAGACCACATTATGGCTGTGAGAAGTATTATTCTCTTTTATAATTCGGTGTGGTAGAGCTTGAGCGAGATAGTCCTCCAGTTGACGCTTATCGTTGGCCTTGATACGTCTGGAAAGCGGTCGAAGGCGGTGGAGGCAGACAACAGCCAGATAGAGGAGGGGTTTATGGATTGAGCGAAGGAGTGGGTGTCTGAGGTGAAGATCAACTCCACGATAGGGTTATCTAGTAATGGGAAATAGAAATGGAACTAAAATGGCCGTTGCCTGGTTGCAACCAAGACGGTAACAAGCATGCGTAATTGCTATCTAGGCAGAGAGCAGAGGGCGAGATGATTCCCCTCGTCACGGCGGAAGATCCTATGACATACGCGCTAAGCCTATCGGAGGTGGGCCGTCACGTGGTGTCTCTACAGATCCCCTTCATTAACATCGTTGAGTATCGTTTAGAATTGATTCTTGTGTCAAATTCATCCTCAGATCATACCATAGCAGAATGACCTGGCAGTAAGATCACCGAGGGATGAACGGCCCTCCTCCGTCTACCCGAGCCTTTCTCTCCGACCTCCCTTCTCTCCCGACAGGCTCCAAAGTTCGCTTTCTCGGCTGGTGCGTCTCACTACACATTGCCTATAGTCTTCTCTAGGACATTGGCATGTCTAATACATACGTAATTTAGCTGATACGCCTTAGCGTGAGAACATATCACATCCCTACAGGCCACCTAATCCTAGAACATGACTATCCCCGCCGTAGATTTTCCACCAACACAGGAACAGAAGCCGCCTCTGTGGCTGTCGATGTCAACGCGGTTCTGGAATCTGTGACGGCGGAGGAACTGCGTGTCGGGGCTTGGGTCAATGTTGTGGGTTATGTGAGGGGCTGGGGCTCGGACGGCGGTGATCATGATGTCCTCCGCAAGCTGAGGATGTCGAGTCCGGTGTATGTGGAGGCTGTGATGGTTTTCTCAGCAGGTATGGTTGAGCTGGGCGAGTATGAAAGGGTTCTGAGAGAAGCGTTGGAGGTCGAGCGGAGGATTTTGAGGCCGGATTGAAGTCAACTATCGGTGAGTCTTGTTTGCTTTTGATTCGTTGTGGTTGGTGATCATTAAACATAAGTCATAGTTAGGTTATATGCTATGCTGAATTAAAATGACGCCTCTATGCATGGGTAAATCACTTTTTCTAGACGCTGTGTTGAGAAGACTAAACCTCCATCTTCACCTGCTCAGCTGGCGCGCTGCCTTCTAGGCGCTGCACCAGCCGTTTCCGCTTCCCCTCCAACCGCATCTGATCCATTTGCATGCGCATGATCAGCGCGCTCTTCCGACGGATCTTATACCCGTACTTGTAGAAAACAAACGGAATCGGGATGATGGCCACTTCGAGCAATCCCAGCAGCGTCCCCGACCAGTTGGGCCCGATCCCCGCGTACATATACGAGCCCACCAAGGGCAACACACCGCCCAGGATACTCCGAATGACAGAGTTGCCCGCCATTGCCGACGCGGCATACACCCCGTAACTCTGCGTGAGGTAGTTGGACGCATAGATGAAGACGCCCGTGTTGCCGGCGCCGAAAAGAACGCCGGCGAGGATGGGGATGACCCAGTGGATTGACGCTGGGGCGCAGGTCCAGGCGAACCACAGCTCGCCGGCGGGGATGAGGACGGCCGAGATGCAGACTATGGACACCATGGCTTCGGGGGCCACCTTGCCCGTTTCCGGGTCGATTTTGTGGCTATTGATCAGCCGTCGGATCAGCGGTTCGCAGGTGATGGTGATCAGGCAGCCAATGCCGATTCCGGAAAAGGCAAGTCCGGAGAGTCCCAGGGACCAGCCGCGGATCTGACGGAAGACGATGGGATAAGCGGTGAAACAGAGGTAGAGGATGCCGTACACAATGGCGATGTAAATGTTCCAGAAGATACTGCCAATGTCAGCCGTGGAACAGGTCCTAGTGTGCAGGAGGCGAGCTCACCAAATGGGTTCGGTGACTGCCATGACAAACGGACGGCCCAGGTTCAGCTTCAAGAGCTCGCCCAGAGACATCTTCTGGTCATAGCGACTCCACCAGCGTGATTCGCCCGTCTCTTTGCGGAGGGTGGCCGCCTTCTTCTGCAAGATCACAGGGCTATAGGTTTCTCTCATGACGCACGAGAGACCCAGCGCAACTCCAGACAGCATGAGGGCAATCCAGTCCATCCACCGCCAGCCCAGATACTGCGTCACGAAACCGCCAATGATCGGGCCCAGCACTAGTGTTTGAGTCAGCTCTACAGTGCTGTTATCCAGCAGGCGGGCAACGACGAACCTGGGCCGTTGACAGGACCAATACTCCAGACGGACATGGCTAGGGCTCGCTTCTCGTCTTGCACCAAATCGGCAACCATACCCGGAGCACTAGAGATCATGACGCTACCGAAGAAGGCGCCAATGAAGCGGACGATGATGAGTGCCTCGACGGACTTGCTGAGCGCACAGGGGATAATCAGGACGGTGAAAACAAACAGACAGCCGATGGAGACCGGTTTGCGGCCGTAGATCTCGCTCATCGGAGCCATGAACATCGACCCGATGGCCAGGCCAACCAGGTAGAAGGTCAAGCCCAGAGTGACGATAGTCTCTGACGTGTGGAACTCGGACGCGATAACTGCTATGCCAGAGGTATAGGAAGTCGAGTAGAGGACACTAGAACAGTGAGTCAGTTGCTTCTCAGCCAAAATGACGAGCCGATACACTCACACAATTAACGTGTTGAAGGATAAGAACGCGATAGCCATGGCCTTGTATCGGAACGACCAATTCTTTGGATTCGCTGGGTCGTCGTCACCCTCGTAGTCGACCTCGAAGTTGGGATCCGCGGTGCCAGTGGTACCGATTGAAGTCACTTTTCTTGCCAGAGACGGCTCTGACAGTCGTGATGCTCGTGTGTTCAGCGTCCGCAGCGCTTCCAGTTGGTCGATTGTATCATCGGAGGTGGTTGATCCGCCGACGGACTCTGCGTCTGCCGGCAAGGCTTCTTCCTGGCTGTGCTCGGGCCATTTCTTAGGTTGCGACATTTCATCTGTCTGCAGTGTGATGGGATCCGACTGGTTCTGTTTGTTGAGTCTGCCTTGTGGTTGGATTGCGCTCCAGGACCAAGGTGACCTACAAGATACCCGAGAGTCGGATGTTGTACTGTTGCGAATATGGATTCTTTCGGTTATATAGTTCAAGCACTCATTCTGCGGCTGATATCTTCCAAGTATGATCTTCGTAGGAATAACCTGCGAAGTTTGCTGGAATGGAGCAGAAGACGCTGGAAGGTCATATGCAATGCGAATGAAGTAATACGTAGCGGTGATGCACAACTCGACCTGGGAATAAACAGGGAAGAGAGATAGGATTCGAGCGAGAGCAATCAGAGAGGAATAAAAGACCTTATAATTTCGCTGGTGAAAGTGACTGAAACGATGAGTGGTAGGGGAAATGGGCCGGTGGGGCCTCAGGTAGAAACCATCATGCAGACTAGAAGAAGAAGAGGACTAGACTCTGGAATGACTCGAGAGACGGATATTTTGAACGGTGAACTACCGAGTTAGCTTGTTCTAGAACGAGTTTAGATCTAGTGATATACTAGATGATCCTGACTAAATAGTTGGGACTAGAGAATAGCGATATCAACATCTGGAGTGTTCAATCTCAAGGGTTATCTAGATACTAGGCTATATGCTTGCTACCTGCTAGATGGACACAGGCACAGACCGAGGCCAGAAATGCTTGGACGGTATAGTTTCGGTTGGTAGTGTCGGAAACAACTTGGCCCCCGCATGGTCAAAATCCATGTAGTGATAAAAGAGCCCAAATGGCCACGAGACTGGTAGCCAAGATGCATGCTGTATGTATGAACCCTGGAGATGAGGTGATTGATCATCGTCCAAGTGGCAGTGGTGGTGGATCTGTGATGGTGCAAAATTGAGCTCGGAAAGAATTCCGTGATAGCAGTTACCGGCTCCCCCACAGTCCAGACTGAATAGTTCAATTACACAGTCCGCTGAGATCGAAAGAAGGTTATCAATGCCCCAGATATGCGGATTCCAGAATACGCTCCACAGTCCCAGCCCATAGGATAGTAGTAGTACTCCATATTGAGTTGAGACACAGAGTCTGGGGAGAATGTGGCTTTTCCACTCGGCCTTTTCTCCGCTGAGAACATTCGTCGATTGGCACGAGAATTGACGGGGTCCGTTCACTCTGGCCACTTAGAAATGCCAGGTTCCGGTTTGCCGCGATGCCGGTTTGCCGATTACTCGAGATGCCCACTAAGGTACGACTTGGCGTAGAGAAGGCAATAAGGCATCAGTATATGCACTGTTGGGCATGATTCTTGATCGCAGATCGTCATCAACCGCTCTACAGAGCAAATCCGACTAGACTGGTCCTTGAGATATCCATCTGTACAGAGTACACGTTTGCAGGATGGTCATTGTTGGTTTTGTATCTCAGGGGTGCTACAGAGCCGTCTTTTTCGTTCACAGGGTGCTGAAACATTTTCGTAGCTACAGATACTTTAATTCTAGACTATCAACAGTTCAACATCGCTGACTCAAAAATGTTGCACTTGTACAGAGAGAAGGCTTCGGTACCATCAACAATCAACACTTCTATGATACAGTGTAAAATTAACAGTAACAGAAACCCTCTAAGCGATCCGTTTCCCCACAGGATTCAGCCAATCAGCATTGTTCCTGTTTGGAACACTCCTTTCCATGGTAACGTACCTTTTAGGTACAATGAACTTTGTACTTTCTCTCTCTCTGAGAGAGGTGTCTGATAGGTACCTCTGCCAGGAATCTAGGTTGTACTTGACAAATGAACTCATCGACCTGTCAAGGCATGGTTTAATGATCATGAGTATTACAAGACTGGGACTTTCTTCTCCTTGTGTTACTTCTGCCGAAAGAATGTTCAGGGGTAGCATACTGTTGTGCTACAGTACTTGCTGCAGTACTGTCGGTACTTAAGCACATGGAGCGGAACGCCCAGTCCCCACTCACTAAGGTATTATTATTTGTTGCAAAATGCGATTGACACTTGACAATAGAATTGTCAACGAGTGTTCTTCAGCTCACTTGCTTGAAGTATATTTGGTCTCTTCGAATTCCTTACAACCGGCCTTTGTTAAACATATCATGATGAAAAGGGCAGGATCCTGTCACTTCTTAAACATGGATCATGTGGACCAGATGCTTGTCGCTCGTCTAACCGAAGCGACTAAAAGTCTCGACCTAGCTCGCTTCGGTGGCCTAGAAAGTAGATGATTTCAACCCCAGCAACACATTTGTCAACCTGTACTTCGCTCACTAGCGCTCTGAAGGTCTCAGCATGTGAATGATGGTTTTTTTGAGAACTACGACTTCAATCAGTTCTCGTCTGCTTCCCCTATAGTCTTCCAGAGCGACAAGCTCACTACTGGCAATCGGGCAGTTGCTATTGGCTTTGTTCCATATCAATCGTCAGACGAACTGCTTCAGTCAGGGCGATACTGCTGCTCTATTGCGAACCAGACGAATCCGTTCGCTTGAGCTTTCCCACCTGCCAAATGTCGTTCATCCTTCTCGCCGCTTCTATTGCGGGCCTGGTCGCCCTCTACCTCTACCATGTCAACCGAGCAATGACTCAAGTCCCGGAGGAAGCTCGTCTACTATCTCCTCGCCGTTGGACCGTTGAGGAAATCAAGGAAGCTTATCGGAAGGCGATTGAGTCCCCAATAGATGTGAGCAAGAGCCTTCCTCCAAAGCAACATAGACGATACGTTGTTGTGGGCGGATCAGGTATGTCAACCCCACCAATTGATCCAGGCAACTGCTAATGGATCTCAGGACTTGTTGGAAATTGGATTGTAACCCATCTTCTTGCTCGCGGCGAGGACCCAACTGCGATTCGCATCCTGGATCTTCAGTCACCCCGTCAGCAAATCCTCGACCAGGGAGTGGGGTTCGTCAAGATCGATATCACCGATGCAGAGGCCGTTCAGGCTGCATTCGCGCAACATTGGCCGCAACAGCTCTCCAGCCTTCCATTGACCGTCTTCCACAATGCCGCCGTGATCAGACCTGGAGAGCGACAAAAGGCCTTTCTCCAATTCTGCACCAGGGTCAATGTCGACGGAACGAGGAACGTCCTAACCGCGGCAAAGCAACACGGTGCAAGCTGTTTCATCTCGACCTCGTCCGGATCCGTGCTCCTCCGCTCTCCATCGTTCTGGATCGCGCCCTGGAGCAAGTGGCCCAAGGGCGTCGTGCAGATCATCAGTGATGCGACAGAAACACCCAAGGAGCACGACCAGTTCTTTGGCAACTACGCCGTATCCAAAGTCGAGGCGGAGCGCATCGTCCGCGCCGCCGACAGCCTCGAATCCAACTTCCGCGCGGGCTGCATCCGACCCGCCAACGGCATCTATGGCGTCGGCGACACCACCATCACGGGAATGTATCTGCTCAAGGGCGGAGCTCCCAGGTACGTTTCCTCCATCCCCTCAGCGAAAACACTTGCATGCAAGCCTAACTCCATCAACAGCTGGACCTACCCCGTCATCCAAAGCTTCGTCAACGCCGAAAACGTCTCCATCGCCCACCTCCTCTACGAGCAGCGCCTCCTCGAGCACACCGCGTCCCCAGCCCAGCTCCCCAACATCGGCGGCCAGGCCTTCACCGTCACGGACCCAAACCCCGCCATCGCCTTCAGCGACGTCTACCTCCTCATGACCACCCTCACAAAGACCCCCATCCGCTTCCCCCGCGTCGCTCCCGTCCCTTTTCTGCTTCTTTCGTACCTGCTGGAATGGTACGCCCTCCTCCAGCACCTCTATCTGCCCCGTCTCCTGCCAAGGATCACGGGTGATCTGGCGCAGCTCCAGCCCGGTCTGTTCGCCATCTCAGATGTGCATACTTTCGCGGACGACTCGCGTGCGCGCAGGACACCCACCGAAGGCGGGCTGGGCTACGTTGCGCCCATTACGACGCTGGAGGGGATGTGCAAGCAGGTGCTGGAGTGGAATCGGAGTGCTGGCGCGGAGACCGTTGCTGCGGTTGCTGCTGTTAGTGGGAAGGGTGTGGTTAGTGTTTCTGAGGAGGGGGTGGATGTGAATTTGGTGGTTCCTTCGAAGAAGTTGTGACCATGTAGTATCTGGTCTGTCGATGAAATTCTCGCGGGAAAATATATGATTTGGTTAATCTGCTTTGCATTGCTTACGTGCTGGCTACTTCTAAAGGGTTGCAACTCTTCCAATAGCACATCATAACCTATCTCGACTGACCATTGCCAACAAAGATCCTGTCTAGCCTCGACTCTATTGCAGGGAAGACAAAGTGTATGAAAATTGACCGGTCCGTCAGGCTGTCTTTCCACTAAGCCTCAATGTAGACAGCCCCCACACTCGCTGGATTTATCGAGTTCGCAAGATCGGTAGCGTTCAAGGAGCTGCGTCACTCCGGCCGTAAATGCTTTAAGCAGTGCCGATCAACGTGACATTCTTAGTTGCAACGAAGTGGTTGGCGATTTGCACCACTCGATGCCGGCACTGGATGGCGACTGTCGAGCTTTCTGCAGGCCACTAGGCGGGCTTGGTGTGTTCGCCTCTCGAGCCGATGCAAAACGGCTGCTGAAGGGAGTTTTTAGAACGCCAAACGGCCATAGCAAGGAGAGGCACGTCAGAAGGTGAAGCCATGCCTCGCCAGACTTCCTATTGCGCCGGGCTCGGAATCAAGTCATAAAGAGAGTGACTCAAGTGAAAATCCACTTGCAGCACAATACCATTTGTGCGAGTCGATGGATCACTACCGCGCCTGCTGCTGAGCAAGCCGACGTCTCTGCTCCAGAATCTGCAACCGCAGACCCTCCGAGGCCAGTTCCACATCAAGGATGGCACTGACGCCCCGCTTCCAAGTCTCCTCCAGACTCACCATCTCGCCCTGGCTGGCCTCCTGGGCAAGCTTCCTCTGCTTGTTGACCGCCTCCGCCGCCTCTTTGGTCTCAGCCAACTCCTTCTCCAGACCCCGGAGAACATTCTCCAGCTGGGAGTTGCCAATGAGCCACGCGTTCTTGCCGTACTCCTCCAGCAGCGCCAGATTCTCGTGTCGCATGGAGAGATGGGAGCTGGCCGTGTACGCTCTCTGCAGAGTGCGGCGCCATGCATCCAGATCAGGGACTCCTCCGTCCGCCGAGCGCGCAGGCGGCTCCGGTGCTTCGTAGCGGGACAGGTCGATTCCGCCGGTCAAGGGCGACCCGGCGGCCTTGCGGTCGATCTCCTGCTGTATAAGGGGGGAGAATCGCGGTTCGGGGAGCTCGGGGATGGCGGGGTGAAGAGTCGAGGTATGATCGGGGGATAATTCCGCTGCGATGAGTTG